TTTCCAGTAGTATTTAGAGGGCAAATATAAAATGTATAGGAAAAGGCTGGATTTTTAATAGGTAGAAAATTTATGAGGGAATCTGCATATATGCTGCCAAAATTTCATGTCAGGCACAATCATATAAGACCCAAATCTGAACTATTGTGTTTAATCCTCCTGAAAAAAAGCATCTTAATGCTATGTTAATGTAGAACTGCCATTTTAACCAAGAATAGACTCTTGCTTTTCATTTCTATATATTATTTATTAGACATTATTAGATATTATACCCATATTCTAAAAGTATTTAATGAATACATAACTGATATCATTTCAGCCTGGACAGAAACTTGGAAAATATTTGTCCCCTCACAGTCATCAACTCTTGAATACATTGATTGCTATACAGAAATCAAAGTTCCTGAACAGTACCAGAGACTCCCTTACCAATTAATATCAGGATTGACATACATGACTGTGTCTGCATGTGTACAGACCAGGGTTCTCAACCTTGGCAATTTTAAGATGTGTGGATTTCAACTCCCAGAATTCCCCAGCCAGAATTCTGGCAGTTGAAGTCCACATGTCTTAAAGTTGCCAAGGCTGAGAAACCCTGGTATAGACAGATTGACACTGATGGTGATATACTGTAAATGTATAACCTTGGTCTGAAAGAGTTGAACATTACTTATTAGGATTACAAAATTAAGCTCTTGTCTAGGGTAGAAGTTAGACTGGATTGTTTTAGGATGTCTTTCATCTCAGTTGTCCTTGTATCTTGATCAGACTGGGGGATGCAGGGGATAGGATGTAGCATGGGTTCAGAGTTCACTTGTTCAGACAGGCTTACTTGCTCTCCTAGGTCTGGTATGTGTTGGTACTCAAATTCAAAATTAAAGAATAGGAATATCATAGGTATAGAATACTCTGTGTATTTGAATGGTTGCTAAAGAACAAAAGTGATTTTATTCAGAGAGGTAATGGAATAATGTGGGTGAAGAATGGAACAGCGAAATGTGCTGGGGCAATAGCAGCAGTGGCAATTCCCTTCCCCCATCCTTGTTTGTGCTTCAACCAACATTCCCTTAATGACAGTGCAGTTGGGAGAAAAAAGGTTTGTAAGACTGATGCCAAGAATTAATCCTTTGGAGAGCTATACTTGTAAGTAGTTACAGTTTAGTCAGTTCCAAGAACAGAAAAAAAAGGGAGAACCTTAGCTTTTAATATTTAGGCTTAACAGTTCATCTGCAACAATTCATCTGCAATAGTTTCAGAAGCCCAGAGTACATGACTGGCCATGCAGTCAGGTTTCTGCAGCTGCCAGCAGTTCTGACTCTGAGGGGTAGAGCAGACTTGTTAGGGAAAAGAGTACAACTAACAAGACAGAAGATGAGAGGGAGAGTTCCAGAATGTGAGAAGAGCTAGATGAGGATGTACAAGAAATGGAAATTCCACCCTCCCTCTGTGTCCTCCAACAAGAGAAAGGAGGAATGGAAAGCCTGTAATAAATTTGTCTGCTCCAAATGAAAAAGAAATAGAAATGGAAGGAGGGGCACAATGCCCGTAACCTGTCAGGTTTCCATCAGCTGATAATGCAAAAACAAAAAGGTCAAGAATATATTTCCAAGATACAAAGTCAGATAAATAGACTTATTGTTGAAAAATTATGAAGCCATTGCTGTGTATCATATATGAACCCTATCTAGAATGAAATCAAGGTTCAAAATCATATTGCCTCTTTCTCTCATGCAACTGATGCAATGGGCTAGATGTCCCTCTCTTTTGGACAGGAAGCATTCATTCATTCATTCATTCATTGTACAAGGTTGCCCAACTCCATAGCAGCTCTGGGGTTTTCATCTGTCTCTTGTTCTGATAATAGACAGAACTGGTATCAAACTGTTTTTTTTTTTGGTTTTTTTAAATCTGAGAATTAGCTCTCACATAACCAGAAGGATGGAGGGGCAGAATAATTTAATAACTTCCAGGAGGGAATAATAACTTAATAACTGAAGGAGAAGGGAAGGGGAAAATAGGGAGGGAGATAGTATAAGGGCTGAAGCTGGTAAAGTGGGAACTAAGAGTTTCCAGGTTAAGGTTAAAGAGAAACATTACCTAAATATGTGAACTGCTAAAGGCTATTAGCAAAATGCTAAGAATTTGTATCCTGCAATGTGAAATCCTGTTTGAGTTTGCTGCTTCAGTATTGTTCTCCCTGCTGCACAGCTTTAAGAGTTGCATTGGCTGCCATTGATTTCTGGATGCAATTGAAGGCATCCTACATGGCTCCAGACTTGGTTATCTCCAGGACTATCTTCTGTATCCATCTGCCTGTTTGATTTGATTGAACAGGTTGAACTCCCTCCAGGCCCTATCTTTCCAAGAATGCATCTGATAGGACCTACGAAACAGGCACTTCCCATGCTGTGGAACTTCCTTCCTACAGAAATCCAGCAGCTGAGACATGGCTTTTCCATCAAGCCTATGAGGAAGGCATGTGTTGAATTTATTTTTCTTTTCATCCTCTGTGATGCCATTGAGGTTTCTAAGGGGTTTATTTTTACTGAGAGTTTTTTTTAATGACGTTTCTGATTGTCAGCCAGTTGTAGTCTGGAAATTAGTAGCATACAGATATAGTAATTAATACATTTGGAAAGGCAGGAGGAAAAGGTTGAGAGTTTAAATTCTCAATGACCCTCCACACTTTTGGAGCAACGTTCTATGAAAAGATGAATCAGGAAAAGTTTTCAGGCTGTATGAGTATCATAACATTTGGCAGATGCTGCATTCTACAATTAGTATTTATGCCAACTGACAAGCATGGAAGTGCTTGTCACGGACTGTGGATGTTTTGTTGATTCCACTGAAGTACCCATGAATTCTGTTTTGTATCAAAGAATTGTACAGAAAAAATAAATTTACAGTATTTATCCATCACCTGAGACTGAAGCACAAGTGGACTGTGCAGCAATACAATGATTGCAAACATACAAATAAATACATAAGAGGATGGATTGAGGAAAATAAATTCAATTCTTTGAAACAGCCAAGTCAAAGTCTAGACCTAAAGGCCACAGAAATGTTATGAAACAAGCAGCTTATGATAGGAAAAAAAAAAACTTTAATGTTACTCTGTTGACAGTTTGCCTTGGAAGAATGGGCCAAAATTTCTACAAACAGAGCAATCACCAATTACAGTATAGGAAACATTTGGTTGTAGTTACTGCAGTAGAGGTGGTGCAGTCAGTTGCTGAATCTTCTTTTTCATATTGGCTCATCATGTTTGACTACTTTATTAGATAAATTAAAAAGCACCAAACTTTGATATTATTTGTTCACTCAGACTTCCTTTATAGAACAGTAGGACTCATATGAAACTCTGATAACGTTCAGCAGTAAAGATATGCAAGCATTTAAAAATTCTGAAAGTTGGCAAAAGCTTCTTTACAGAACTCGTTTTGATGGTCACAGCTCAAAAGATGCCAGCATTCCTTGACCTGGTTCACTACTTCAGATTAAGTCTCCTCAATGCATTCTCTTCTCCTCACCACATTTAGAGAAATAAACACACTCTGAGACCTCTAGATTGATTGGATCATGCTCAGAGGGGATGACATTTTTCTTATGTAGAGATTCAAGTTCTATTTGTTAACACCGGTTAACTTTTTCCATGAGGTACCAAAGAACAATGTTTCTGAGAAATAGCAATCTAATCCTCTTAGTAGTTCTGTTCCTTTTTAGAAACTCTTCTAAGTATCTCAAATGCTTCACTGTCTACTAAGCTTTTTATATAATTCTTTTTTATTCCATGTCTGATCTTGAAAAGTTAAGCAAGGTTATACTTGGTTGTACTTGGATAGAAGATCACTAGGAAAGTTTGGGGTTATAGGCTAAATTGAGGAGTTGGAAAAAATCACTTCCATATTGTTGCCTTGAAAATTACATGTTGCCATGAAGTCACCAGGATTCAGACTTGAAGGAGACTTTACCTGTATTTGATTATAGCAACAGAAATCATTCAAAAGATCATTTATTCCTTCAGCAGTTGATTTTTCTTGTCTCAATGTTGCCATTTCACTTCAAATAGTCTTGCAAGGTAACTAAATATGATTTGAGTTTACTGGAAGCTGGGCTATTTGAAATTTTTCGGTGGTAGAAATTCTTCCGTGGTAGAACACTGTCAATGTTTTCTAATTTGAATGCCTATACCTCCATTCCTCATAGTTGTAGATATGAGAATATATACACTATGCCATAAGTGCATAGTGAAACTTGGGGCAATGCCTTTTTTAGCATTACCAACTTTTTTTAAAAAAGTGTCAAGTGTAAAAATTTTAGAGCGTGAGTAAAAAAAAAAAAAAATGGAGAAGAATCTGAGTCTAATTTTTGCACTGTTGCCAAAATGCTACTTGCCAGGTGTGTTTTGTTCTGTTGGATAGTTTTGGTACTCTCTTAAATCAAGTGGCAGAGCCACCTCCCACTCAAAAGAAGAAGTAGCTAAAATCATCTTGACAGATGTCTTCATGTTCATGGTTGCTTGCATTTGCTTGAGATAATTAGTATATGGATAAAAAAAAAATACACACTATACTGGCAGGTAGCTCCAGTTCAAATACTGTCTCTGTAGAAAAGACAGCAAATCTGAGTTTATCTGAATTTAGAGCATGCAATGAAATACTTCATAATGTGCAAAAGAGGATGGAGATAGGTTGAAATTTGTTCTTCTAGTTTAATATTTCCTAAAAGATTTAAGGGAAAAATGATGCAAGAGCATAATCATTTATTTTTCATATTTATTTGGTGTTGCCACATTGAGTATAGGAACTGTTTCCTTACAGAAAGTTTCACAAATTGATAATTGGAAATCACTCCTTTCATGAAAATATTTATAAACTGAAAAGTTGCCAAGCCCCAAGCATACTGTTTGAAAATTAAACATTTAAAAAATCTGCAGTCATTATAAAAACAAAACAAAATTGAATGCCAATAGGATTGAAACAAGAAAAAAAAATCTAAGATCTTTTAGAATTATTTCTGTATGAGTAAGCGTATAGTGTGGTTATGAAAAGGAAGTGGGTGGTTTAATGACAAGTACATGGTTTAGGCTGCTCTGTATTTTCAATTCTCATAAATAGCTTTTCACATTTTTTGCTTACATGTGTTTTTCTTCAGTTTCAGTTCCATGTAATTTTGATTCTGTCCCATGGTATTTTAAAATGTTAGTAAGCAACAGAAGCTTGCCATCCATGGAGCTAACAATAGGAACTCTAAATAGATGGGATAAGGTAAGCCCCATGCTTTTTCTTATGGAGACAGCTACTACTCTAACTCAAGAAGAAGACAGTAAGATTACTTCTGGAAATGATATGTGTCAGCATGGATTTTTTTTCCCAGCAGACCTGTATGAGGAAAGGCTGGCATATTTGGAGATTTGTAGCTTTTTTATTTTCAAGTGATTACCACTTAAATGGCTGAGACATGACAGAAATACAGTATATACAGTTATATGTGAGTATACTGTATAGACAAGGTTGGTAGATGTTTTTCTCCCTTGTAATACTAGAAATTAGAGTCATTCAATTAAATTGCTTAGCGGGGGATTCAAAACAGGCAAAGTAACTTCTTCACACCACCCTCAGTTCATGGTGGAGATTGGGAACAAGACAATACCAAAATGTAACAAACATTTGGCATTCTTATGCAATATCTTTATGAGATAGCCACGCTCTTTACAAGATTCTGCAATCTGTGAGAGATTTCGACTGATCATTACTAGAAAGTTGTTAATACTTGATTTATGGAATTCTTTATTAGCACCGGATACAGTGATGGCCAACAGTTTAGATGGGATTTCAAAAGGGATTAGGCAAATTAATGAAGATCATGAAAGCCTCTGGTAATGATAATTTGTTGTCTCCAGAATCAGAGGTAGGATACCCCAGAGTATCAGGCTGGGCAATAACTGCTGATGAGCTTTTCTAGAGGTATCAAGCTGGCCATTGTGAAATGGGATGTAGAATTAGATCAGGCTTTGTCTGACTTAGTAGAATTAGTGAAACACATGAAATATATGGTGCTGCGCCATAATGCTTAATGAACCAGTTGTTTTTATTTGAAGCTGGTGTTCAGATTCTATTTCTATGACCTTGAGAATTGTCTAAGTGCCTAAATAATGTTAGCAAGTTACACTATTGCTGCCTTTGGCATGATTTTAAAGAGAGAAAGTCAGGAGAGATAACAGTGGTTTAGGTAAAAGGTTAGCAGGCAACAGGGAAGTATTCTATGATTTCACAAATGGAAACAGGTATCTTATTTTACCACAGAAAAACTGGTCAGTTAGTTCCTTTCTTCATCTATGTTCTCCACCTTCTATATTACATATTGTTGCAAAAATCAACCCCATGTTTAAAAAATTAAGATATTCCTTTTCTGTATATTCTGATAAATCCCCTATCCCCTAGTCAGTTTATATAGTCTTCCCCAGGCAGATTTTTTAATGCTATAATGCCTGGATCTGATGGGAATTATATTTCAACACAGCTGAAATATTTCAGGCTGAGGACAAAAATATTAAAGACTGTTCAAAAGAAATTGCCTATTACAAGTAAAATGCTAGGATGAGTTGCACATGCCCTTTTAAAACTGTATGTGTATGCTCAGATGCATGTGTGCTACCTGGCATTTAGCATATATACAGTAACTGGAACTGATCCTTAAGTACCTTTTCCCCAAATGTCTTTTATCAAAATATCTGGGTTTGCCTCTGACTTTTTACAAAACAAGGTTTTCTTTAGGATGGAAGCACCTAAATGGACTATGGCTGTTGGCTGACATTTCTATTTTGTTAGCTTCTGGCATATGAAAGTATACTGTAGAGCCAAGACCATGCTTAGGTCATCTCTAGCCATTCACCAAAAAGAAAAGTTGAAGCAAGATTGGGCTAATGACTTATGTGGGTGTAAGTACCAAAAAAATGAATATTTTAATATGTTAATGTGAGCTATTGGGATTTATTTGGTAATATCACATACGGCTAAATACACAGCCCTAAAATCATGGAAAGCCACTCTTACATTACATGGTACACAGCAGTAACATACAAGTGGCTTTCCATGATTTTAGCCTGTTGCCTTTTATAGAGATCCATTTTTTAGTTGGCCAGGCCAGTTGTACAGGCTTAACCACATCCCTTTCATTATATTGCTGTGGCAAGGAGAATCTTGGTGATCAACTTTTAATTGTTAAGAACAGTAGTTTAGAAAAAAAAACAAGAAAATGACCCTCACACCACTCCTTGTATATCTCAGTCAAGGTCAGGTTTCACATATCATGCTAAGTCATAATGAGGTTTGTTTGGTTTGTGCTAAGAATATTGTTTAAGGAGAGCTGTTGTGGTTTGTGTAAACTGTCCATTGTAGTTTAAATGCATGGTTTATGGCTTATTGTCTGGTATCAACTCTGCTGTTGGAGTGTATGCAGACTAGTCAATGTGGTTTAACATGGTTTATAGCTTAACATCTTTTGTGAACCCAGCTATCGTGATTTCTGTAAACCAGCCATTGTGATTTATAAAACATAACATAGGGAATTAATATGAATACAGGCAAGTTGCAATTCAGTCAAGAAACCATGTTCCCTGATGCTAATAGCAATGATTAAAATACAAACTTAGTGAAAATTAACTGTTTTGGAAAAGATAAAAATGCTGATAATATCTTAGTAAGTTTCCACTACAGGGGCCTACTGAATTTCTATCAATGGATTTTGTCACAGGGACATTCTGTTTATCATAATGTAAAAGAAGGTGTGGAAATAGAGAGCTGATGCAATAGTTGTGGACAAATATGTGCTAGCAATCTTGCCTTCAACAGCACACTGGAATAATACTTGTGCGGTTTCAGCAGAAATTTTGATCTCTGCAATAACCCTTGTATTTATTCTTAAAGTGAGCATTTTATACAGTAATTGTCTTTCAGACTTCATCTAAACACACTTTTATCCTTGTAAGTGTAGAGATAGAAAACATCCAGATCTACAACATTCAGTGCCTACAAATTAATCAGTACAAATTCTGGGGAACACTTAAAGCAAGTATCATACCACAATTCATTATAGCTCAGAAGATTTCCTAATGACTAATCACTCTACTGACATCTTAAGATATGGGACCAGTTGAAAAGCTTTGTTCTGCTTTTTGAATATGAAAAGAGTAGTCACAATTAATATAAAAACAAATAATTATTATTTAATTCTTAACTCTAATTCTTATTTTGAGATCCTTACAATTGTGAAGAAAATCCTCCTAAATGTTTTGCAAATGTCTATCCTTTTTCAGCATAGATTATGTCTCCTTCTCTATATTTACATGTTAGAATTCCTTCTCATTCCATGGATGGCTTCATGGCAATGTCAGATCCCCATTGCTCTAGCAACTCTGGTTACGCAAAACCAGAAGATTTTGTATTCCATTTTGAATATTACGTTTTTCTAATATTTAAGCTTTTTAAACTAACACAAATCCTATAAAGGCTCTTATGAGGATTGAAGGGAACTAATGTTAAGAGAATGTGTCACTTAATTCTATTATATATATGTTTACTTAGAGTTAAATTGTAGTTGGTGGAATTTAACTAGTTAGTCTCCCTGCATCAATGTCACCGGAATGGGGAAGAGACCATTTTTCCTTCTTCCACATTTTCCCTTCTGGGGAGAATTTGGGGGCTACAAGAGGCTGAATTGCCCTCTTCCAACTCACTGATAGAAAATCAGTTGAGAGACACTATTACCGTGTTCCACGAGATGTATTCCTATATGATTGTCTATAGAAGTATAGCATGTCTTGTACAGGTAGTCCCCAGTTTAAGAACGAATTCCGTTCCCAAGGTCTGTACTTAAGTCAAATTTGTATATAAGCCAGAACGGTATTATTGTATAACACTGTATAAGTAGTATTGTGTAATTAACTCAAACCATTATGTATTTAACTCGAATCATTGTGTATTTAACCTGAATTTTGCTACAATAGGCTCCATCTTAACTATGGGTTGTTTGTAAATTGGGCATTCTTAACCCAGGGGCTACCTGTACATTCTTGAATCAGTCTAGAGAAAGAAAGATTCAGACCTTAGATAAAAGGCCCAGTTCCATAATTATCTCTACCTCAATGTGCATAAGAATAAGCTAATCATTGTGTTTTTAATTTGAATTTTGCTACAATAGGCTCCATTCTTAACTATGGGTTGTCTGTAAACCGGGCATTCTTAACTTGGGGACTACCTGTTCTTGAACTCTGATTTTAGCTTATTTAGCCACCCTATTGTCACTTTCTGCAACATTCAAGTTAAACAGGAAGATCAGCAATTTCCAGATATTTTCAATCTCCCTCCTCACCCAGTACACCCAAATGTGTTGACCTTGACTCTAATATGCTTCCCCCTCACATGTTTCACCTTGGGAAGACTGACATATTTTGTCTTTAGGTCATATTTGGAGCTAATTCATATCCAAAACTATTCAGTAGGAATGACATTGCTTTTACAAGCTTAACTCATGCCATGCAAAATAAAGTCAATTCTATTCCTCAGTCTGCAGTTATATATAGCAGGGACCTGTGGCTTTCCTGATACTGTTGAATTAAAAATCCAATTCCAGCAAGTATGGATAGTAACAGTGATGGCAAGTTGTTGTTCTCATCTGGAGGTGAACCAGTTCCCCATCCATGGTTTATATGGTTATTTGTACATAAGGCCCATTGAGCAAACTTCTGATTAAGCAAACAAGGAATTGTAGTCACATTCTCTATCCTAGCCCATAATACTTCAGGTACTGGAACAAGAACACAAGTCACCAGTTAAGAATAAGTCTATATAACAGAGATCCATTACTTGCAACTATAAACAGTTATGGCTAATTAGTGATTATACGAAATCTGTCAAAAGTCATAACTTGTATGTGGATACCACTTGTCATCTTAAATATTTAGCAATTCTAAATATTCCTACAGTTGTTAGTCATGAAGATTATTGGCTCTGTACAAATATGGCATATTAGAGATAAATTATTATTAATAACCTAAGAAAATCTGGGATTTTCTCTGTCCCCAAATAGAAATAAAATATAAACATATTTAATCAAATGAACTTTCTTCCTTTCCTGTCCTCCCCTATTTCTGCTAATTCCATAAAACCTATTGCCTATATTGAACTCTTTCTAACATCAATGGTCCCCTCAAGTCCTGCTGTGCTGCCTCATCATTTCAGGGTGGGGGTGAAGAATGCCAAGAGTA